CGCTGGAGCATGTTCCCGTACCTCTTTTGAGTACCCATTGCATTATACTGGATATATTGTAGTTTTATGGCACAAAACATCAGCAATAAATGGCATGTTTTAGAAGTCGATCAGGTAAAAATATACACGTACCTGGGCACAAGCCTGATACTGTATAACCTCGGCCTATCCATACCGGCTGGCCTAGGCTACCCTACACAGGCATAGGCATAGGCACAGGCTCTGGCCCAGGCCTAGACGCAGCCTAGCCTAGCCTATGATGTCGATCAGAGATAGGCCTAGACTTCCATGGGCCTAGGCTCGGGTGTAGTTAGCATAGGCCTATCGTCTATGTCTCGAATCCAAGTCGATTTGGATAGTGAATTAAGATAGAGATAGGGTCAAGCCTGCCTGGCCAGCTCCACCAATCAATACCTTGAATTTACGTAAACACCTCGGGACAATGTTTACGGGTTCTTTTGAATATCGGTAGTTCGGATAAGCCTTTACATGCATCCACCTTGATTCATGAAAAACACTTCCCTCATGTCCAACTAGGCTACGACCTATTGTACTGTATATTTTTGTACTTTCACTTACAAGAGGGTAGCCCAAAAGCAACAGGGGAATCCAATAGGGGAGAGGGGCGTCACTGGGAAGGGCTCCTGCCCCGTTTTGCCACTATTTTTTTTTATTTCAATGCAATATATGTGCTATTTGCTTATTCAATTATTCTAAAACTGTTAGGCGCCCCTCCCCCCCCCCCGTTTGTAACATTCTGGATCCACCCTTGATCACACGTGCACAATAATTCCTCACAAGGACTACTGTATGCAGCAGAGACACAAAACATTAACTATAAAGACGTCTTTCAGAAAAATAATGACATATGGTAACCATAAATAACATCCACAACGATTGCTTCCTCAACTTCCCCATTCAACAATGTACATGATCGCCACCTTTCCCAACTCATTCAACACTGTGCGGGTATGCTAGTAATCTTAATTATATGGAATAATCTAAAAAGTGAAATCATTTATGTAAAATTGAATCAGAAAACTTTTTTTTTAAAACAATATCTTTCTAGTTATGTTAATGACACAATTTCGTTCTAATGTTTTATGTCGTTCATATGATAGTTAAGTTAACAATAGAAACATAATCTATGATGTGATTCCTAAACAGTAATTAGACATTTCATATTATACACTTCCTATATGACGAATTCATTTCACTCCGAACACAATGCTTGATATATTGCATCGAGTTTTTGTCGATACTCACTATTGCCCTTTCATCATGTCAACAATATTGCCTTACCACATTATATAAATAAACATTTATTATAGAGTACCACAGCCGTGTCGTCACGACGCCAAGTTGGGGCTCTCTGTTGTTAACAGACGATAGGTTACCGTTCATTACGCCAGAATGACTCTACTGTATAGGCTTTCTGGAATAGGCATTTTAAAATCTAATATTTTACCATCAAAATGTACTAAAGACACGAAAGCTCGCATTATATAATTTATCGAACACATTTAATCATCAATTAAAATTTACAAAGAAAAATTAAGATACAACATCTTAATAATTACGTTAGAAATTGGGATCAATGGTTTGTCAGTGAAGAAAATGGCATCCGGTTGAACGTTTTTCGCAACGATAGCAACGGAGTAGTATAACGTGATATAGTGACGTAACACTGTAGTACTTTATATATTACATAATATAAGATTGCTTTAATAAATGTATTGGTTGTAGTTTTCTTAGTTTTAAAACCAAGTAAAAGTGTACGTACTGCTACGTGAGTTTCACTATCGGTGGATCTGCTTTAATGTTTGTTCTACTGAGAAATGCAATGATTAGACAACCGATTCTACCTAAATGATCAGATTCGGTGACAAATAAAATGCTGATACACTTCAATTCTGGTGCCAGCACCAGTCATCAATCATCTGATCAGAATCCCCTAATCATCATCATTTAGAAACTTAACTATAGCTTCATAACCTTTTGTTAAACAAATCAATGTACCTGATTATATATTCAGCATAATAATTAGCTACTTTTGGTGAATATTACAGACTTACTAGAGCTTTACTAACGTTTGGTTAAACAAATCATGGTATTCAATTATATATTCAGAATAATAATTAGCTACATTTAGTCCAGATTGCATACTTACTATAGTTGGTCAAACTCATTGTCAAACAAATCAGTCTATCTATTTAATATTCAGCATAATAATTACCTATATATATATATATATATCCTTTAGATGTGTAATGATAATTACCTATATACATATAGTCTACAAGAAAAGTATTTGGTTCATTTCTGTTTTGTTTTTTGTTAACTGATGATGGGTTGAAGGTAATCCGAAACATGCCTGCCATTAAATCTTTCGTGTTATTTTTAAAATGCGTTGTATTTTTTGTCAACTTACGTCCATTTGGTTCTATTATCAAGGATTTCAGTTCAAGAAGATTACCAGTTTCTTTATTAAGGAAATATGAAAATATTACTCTTCGTT